GTTTGACATTTGGATTATTTCAGAATTATTCAAACCTGTTCTGGAGCATCCCACTCGCGCATGTCCGATGACACAACAGTGACGTCACCATTCCACTCTTCTTCTCTCAAAGTCTCCAGTCTGAATCACAAAAAAGCAGGGCGAAGATTACTAGGCTGGAAAACTTGATAAAACGCAAGGACTGCTGAGTTTAAACATACAAAGCCTACTGAGTTCAATTGCAAAAAGCAAGACGAAGTAAGAGTTATCCAAACACCACCAATGCCGAGTGTGAACTTCAACGTTAATACCTGTTATAATCCATCAAATATTTTCGCTCGCGCGCGATTGGTCTAAGCGCGTCACGTGACCGAATATTCCCCAGCTAAAACAGGGGAATATCCGATTAGTATCACCCAAATAGTGGACTAATGCAAATCTTGCATTTTAATTGGCTACGCTACTAGAGTAATAGTCCTCGAGTAGCGAAATTGGCACAATCGAGCGTGACGCTTTCTTTCGTTTTATTCCCAAACAAATATTTCTTCAACTTGCATTTGGTAACTTTACTATTGCCTTTTCTGTCCGACTAGTTGGGTGATACTAAAACAATTAGACTCTTCGCCCTCAAGGGCCACGGGTCCATAGCCCATTCGGCTTCGCCTCATTGACTATAGACCTGTAGCCCTCGCGGGCTACGGGTCTAATTGTTAAATCGTATTTGTTAGTTGCTGTATTATTGTAGGTAGTGTCAGAAGCAAATCACCTCGTTCAAGGTGATATGCTTCTGGTAGTGTTTATATTGTACTATACGTAGCTGTAGCCTGTAAGTAATGTCCGTATTGTATTGTAAGTAGTGCAAGTGTATTGCAAAATAATAATTTCAAAAAAAACTTGACTGACTGACTGACTAAGAGCCTGACTGCCTGACTGCCTGACTGCCTGACTGACCGACTGAATATCGAGACCACTGAAAGACGACTGACTGACTAAGTCAACTAACTCACTGAAAGACTGACCGACCGAAAGACTACTGATTGAAAGACTTACTGACTGACAGACTGGTCGACTGACTGTCTGAAAGACTGACTGACGGAAACTGATTGACTAACTGACTGGTCGACTGACTGTCTGATGGACAGACTGACTGGCTGGCACTGGCACAAGTTGTATTGCATTATTCTCACGTTACAGGAATATGGACTGGACTTATATTTTTGGCAAGTGTGGAATGATACCAGACTGGCTCAAGGCCAGGAGAGGTTTTTGTCGCTCAGTGGAAATGACATTAAAAAAGTTTGGACGCCAGACACGTATTTTATGAACGCTAAGAAAACAGAGATAAAAGATGTAAGTTCCCTCCTTATTGTTCTAGATAAGTTGTCAGCAAGTAAAGTCCAAAATTCTCTAACTAAAAAATATAGCTGCTAATATGCTGTGATGTTAATCAACAGGTTATGAAGGACAACCAAATGGTTTACATCATGCCCAATGGAGAGGTTGTTCAGATGTCTAGGTAAATAATTTCATGTGTATTTTTAACACCTTATACTGATTACTTCCATATAATTCAAGACGTGTAAAAAAAAGTAAACTTAGTCTTTTAGACAGTCATATATATGCAAATATTCCCGCTCCATTTCTACGTGAGAAGAATGATTTGATTATGATGTCAATCGGGTCGTTGATGATAACACTAAGCTGATTCGGCCAAGAGGACAGGATGTGGCTCTCGTCAAAGGTTTGTTGGAATCACGAACATATCTTGTGGAATTAATTATTTTTTGAACGTTTTCCGCGCTTTGATAAGTGGATTGGGTCATGATAAATTTACTGGTATAATTTTCTGAGTTTTATTAGAATTATGGAATTGTTTTATTAGAATTTTAAATTGTTAGAATTGTGGAATTGTAGAATTGTTAGAATTGTAGAATTATCATATTACTTCTGTACAATTTCTGTTTTTAGTGTAAACACGACCCTACTGAAGCAAACCTATTGCTTTAAACTAAATCGTGGGTAAATAAAGGATTGTTTTTGTTACTGTTGTTGCAATTCTCTCAGACTCCCTCTCTTGTTTGCAACCACCTGCGTAAAAGCTCGTTCCATTTTTTAATTTTTTAAATTCTGGTTTTACTGCAGTTCCTTTTTGTATGTTTCACTAGGATCACACTAACAGTTGCCTGTCACATGCAGCTGCAGATGTACCCGTTTGACCGACAGAAATGTGACCTCGTGATTGAGAGCTGTGAGTAACGTTTAAACATTTCAGACATGCGAACAGATACACGGTCATAACTACAGACCGAACTCACTAGACCTGAGCAATGCACAACCGGTGAAAACAGCACAATTATAGGCACAGAGAAAATTGAAACAAACAGTGCAATTTAATTCGAATTTGAAGATAAACTTTTTCGGCGTTACATATCGGGCATACAAACTGACGTATTTTCCAAATACAACAAACAACAAGCTTTATTCAGGGGCGGATCCAGATGATTCAGAAAGAGGGGGCGGAAGAAACCACTGGAGAAGCGCGAGCCAAATTTATTAGGATTTGTTTCCTCTCGACAAATATGATATCGCTGGTTACTTTAATTTGTTTTTTTCCCTTTAGTTTCGTTGACTAAAGACAAGCTGGTTTATACCTGGGGCAACTTGATAGCGGATGAGTGCCGTGTTGAAGTTTTTGATGACGCCATGGCTCAGTACGAGTACAGAGGAGTAAAACTCAATTATAGGCACAAAAAGATTATGTCTGGTATGTGCATGTATTGCTGTAGAAAACCTGGATATTAAGTGCTACGTATAAGCTCTATTAGACTCGAGTTAACAAATATATTGTTTTTTAAAATTAAATCAGTTTCTTCGGAGTAAGTCATTTCCACGGCATGGCAATTTCATTTCTCTTTAAAAGATCATTGGACTAGAAATTCTAAAACGTCCTGCCGGGAACAAAGTGGGGTTTTAAAAACGTTTCTTCCTTTTCCACCGATAAGAAGTCAACGTCAGCACTTTTGAGCATTCCAAAGTTATCACGGGACCCTGTTGACCGACTGCTTTGCAAATCCTTGGAGTCAATAAACCACAACAGTATCATGGCACGCAGAACGCTTCGTTATTACGAGCGGTAAATTCACGTGCATTTTAAAATTCTTATGATGTTTCATTTTTCCAACAGCGCCCTTTTCAAACTTATATGCCACGTGGGTGTTTGATCGCCGTACTTCGTATACGGTACTCCAAGTGTACCTGCCAAGTTACATGATCGTCATTTTATCATTCATGGCTTTGTGGATTCCTCAGGAAGCCGTGCCTGCCCGCGTGGGCCTGGGAATAACAACTGTACTCACCATAGTTTACTTCTTAGGTGAGAAAATAAATAACTCAATAGCCCTCTTATTGCAATGAGCATAAGAGACCCAACGATGTCTGTGTAACGTTTTTGAGGCATCTGTTTTTGGATTGACTTTGATCCTCTGTACCTGGCACCTTGCTCAGGGGCAGGATTTCGAGGAAGACCCGAGCATGTAACGTCCGAAGATTTCCTTCCTAAGATGGGTTTTGCCAAACAATGCTGTCTCCATATATTACCCTGAAAATCAGAAATTTGGCAAAATGTGCCGTCAATTTTCTGCCATTGGTTCGAGTTCACACACTTTTCAAAACGGCAGAAGTCATAAGCATCCGGCGAGGTTTTTGACCTTCCGGCTTAAGAGCTGACAGGTATAGACTTTTAAAGGCCTTTGGTCACATCAAATTACTGCTGTTAAACTGTTACCATACAAAATTAACAACAATTTTCTATCCAGTTACGAGGTAAGATCGGTATATTTCAAACACATCAGCGAAGTAGTTATCAAATGTATGAACAAAACGAGTTGGAGAGTGCACTGTTGTTGGCAAGTTTACTTCTAGTATCTAAAATCGTGAGTATTTCAGATGTCCTGTAGATATCCATGAAGATTCAAGGCAGGTCTATTAAGGGGACATCCACAGTACAGTGGCAAACATCTACGTAGGAGACTGGCAACTAACAGGCTGGTATCTCATTTTCACTTAGGAACTGTCAACAATAACATGCCTCGTGTGTCTTACATGAAGGCGATTGATTTTCATCTCTTTGTGTCTTTTGGTTTTGTATTTGCCACCATGTTGGAGTATATTATCGTGCTTAACGTCTCAGCCCGGGAAAAAAGGAAATTAGAGTCGCACGAAAACTACGAGGTAAGCTAATGTACCTTGATTTGTATAACAGTCGATAACACATTATGAACATCTGATTGGTTCTTTACAATCTTTACACAGTATTAAAGAATAATAATTTATGCTTTATTAAATGAAATGCTTGGCTTAGGTTTCCAATAACAGCAGCTTGTTGTTGGACGTCTGTAATAGTAGTGAGGATTAACAAACGTTTTTTGACTCTCGTTGTTAGACAATCTGTTCCAAGTAACTGATGTTTCTGTTTGGAGAAATGTTACAAAATACAACTGGCGTTTTAATTTAGTAAGAGAAAGTTCACATAGATATAGCAGTCCATGTCTCCATGATATGTACTACGCTGTACACAGTTTCATTATGAAAGCTGTACGTGTTAGTTCTGGTTTTTCTTTGTTGTGTCATTGAGGAGTTTATTAAGACGTAAAAAAGCAAACCTTGTGATATAACATGCTCTCTTCTACTTTTTTAAAGCTTGGTCCACTGAACAATCATACCTCCGATGACTCAGCACAGAATAACTCTTATGGCCCAAATAACACCGAGGCTCGTTACCGAAGGGGTAGTACTGAAAGCCACATTGAGGATGGAACCTTACCGGTCCTACCAGGACAACCCTACCGAAAGAAGTCCCATGGAGTCCTGACAACACACTCTGTTGACAGATTCTCACGGATCTTAATGCCAGCTGTTTATGCAACCTTTGTGGTTGGTTATTGGGTAGTCTGTGCAGCATTGTCACCTCAAAGAGAAGCATTAGATCTATGTTAGGTGTCTTTTAATGCCACAAATAAGGATAAGGTGTATGCTTCTTTCCCTGAAGGATGATTATCAAGTCATATGATCTTTTAGGCTTAAGTTCATTTTAACTATTCTCTGTCTGGTGAAGGAGTAAATTAGCCTTAATTATCGTATGATAATTATCAGGTCAGAATTTGAGGCTGTTAACCCCTCAACATAGCTTTATGGCTCCAAGGTTTGACTCCCTTGAGAAAGGCAAGAAAGAGGGGCAGAAAGCAGGTCGATGCGAATACTACGTATAGTATGCACATTTAGTTCATCAAGTGGGGTGTTAACTACTGATGGAACATTTTGTATATATCGATCGTAAAGAGAATTTCGACACTAACGTAAATAAGCAGGGGGATAACACGGAACAAATGGGGTCCGGAAAGTACAGTTATGTGGCAAATGCATTGATTCCGGAGGTATTTAAGTTTTCGGAAAATGTTTCAGAAATATGCAAATGAAAGGAACCCACTACGTTACCATGGAAGCAAACCTGTTGAACTCATATTGAAGAGCAAATCTGGTAGAATCTTACTGCAAAGAATCAAACATTTCTGATACAAATTGGCTAAGATATCTTTCTTCACCATTTGATCAAAATTCGGTTGAGTTTATGACGTTATCACTTGGCTAATTTGCACATTTTATAGAATTGGATATCTCTAGAACGAAAAGAGATGTTTGAAAATGTAGTAAGCAGCAGTTTTCTTCCCACACAGACTTCCTGTTTATGTTTTAAAATGGATTAGATAGGAAAGATGCAAATTTCATAATCATAGCTTTTTAAGTACCCTGGTGTTTTTCACTTTTTTTATTTTGGCTTGTTTGCTGTTAACATTGTGGTAATAAGCCGTCAAAGCATTCCATATCATGAAAACTCTATGCGAGATTGGATTCTCCATTAAATAGCTATTGAAGCGTGGTACAACAAGCTTATGATTACCTTGTAAGCTTTGCCTTGTAGTTTGTTCGCTGATAATGTTTACGATGCACGGTGGAGTGCATCAGTGAATATATTATACATTAAACCAGGCAGCTTAAGCTTAGAAATTTTAAAGTAACTCCCTAGAATGTGTACAAAACGAAGGCCAGTTACCAATTAATCTTGTCAATAACAAATTTCGAGATTAGAAAGTCTTTACGAAATTTTCCTGACGGAAAACGTCAGCAGTGTTTTCCATAAGTTTTACAGTAGGGAAACATAAAATATCAGAATTGAGAATTTTATTGTAGATTTTATTGTATTTAAAAAGTAGAATAAGATGCGGCCCATTGATATAAGGAGAAAAATAAAAATAAATAAATCACTGTATGGCATTTAGCTCTATTGTGCTAGTCGCAAACACTATAAATAAAGAGAAAATGTTTTAAATAGAACTGAAAACTTGTCAGAAATCTCAAACGGTTGGTGGCTAGCCAGCTGGCTATTAGTGGCTGCTCAACAAAAATCCGTTAAGCGGCAGAGAGGAGGATTTTAACACCGGACCTCCGGATTGCAAATCCAACACTTCTAGAACCACGTAACAAGCAGGATACATCACCCGAACCCGTCCGAAAGTTTTTGTGGATCACCTGATGATTGCCGTAGATGATCATCCGAAGATTTTCAATATTATCGTAAATTTTGCGAATATTTTCGGAAATCTTCGAAGATGTTTGGAACACCAAGGGCACGGCAGCCTCCCTAAAGGACCCTGAAATTCATTCAGCTAACCCTAGTCAGCTTCCGCCATTTTCGATGCGATCGAAATTATTGATATTACATGGTGAAGGGAAATCTTATTCATTTTACCGTAAGTTGTGTTCCTGAAAGTATGTTTAATTATCTTTAGTAGTTTCACAGTGATTTCCTTCGTTTCGAGATGCTCCGAACAAAATTTAATAGCCAAACTCTCACATGTAAACAAAAACAAAGGTTTGGTTGACTAGGGTCCTTTAAGTAAACAATTAATTTATAACGAAAGCCTTTATATAGTCTACCGGTATTTTCAAGAGGTTACCACATGATTTCTTTATGCGTAACGGTTTAACAAATTCTATCATGGCTCTAAGTTAAAGGGTCTCTGCACAACTTGAGACGTACATGCCTGCTGTGGGATTTAAAACTGTGCTATTCAAACTTAAATCTATGCAGATTTTAAATATTAAATATCTCAAAGAAATCCAATAAATGACATTTTCCGAGAAAAGAAGAATAGCCAAGTTATGAAAGAAAGGGAAAATTTGCATTAAAAGACTAACAAAGGAAATTGCATGAGATTGGTTGATTCAAACTACAACTTTGAATGTGATTGGCTTATTGAACTGTCCGATAAAAAAATTGTCCGATAACAACTCGGCAAGTGAATTAGTAGAAAATAGGAGTTTTTTTAAACCAATCACAATCGAGGAAATTGTAATTTTTATGATAAGTATTGCTATTGTTGCTGCTGTCGAAAATCATTTTGAATTCTTGATTAAGTAGTTGAAACTTCTTCCTGTTATATGCAATAAATTACTAGTTGAGTTACCGTGTGTCATATCTTGTACTAACATATACTGCAAGGATTACTCTGAGCAATATCATTTGTTTACACAGCGAAATAAAGATTGGCGAGTTTGACTTTCAAAGACATCAAATTAATGCCACGCAGAGGAAATCTTATGAGTTGCACGGAATTTATCTACGTGAAAACTTTTCGTAAATATAAATTTAAAATGTCGACAGTTTTGCTATAAAAGCTATCAGCTTATCATCTTTGTAAGATTCATTCGCTAGCAGCAGGGACACACGGTTACTGTTTGACATTGGATGTCCTGGGGACGCGAGTGAACGTAATAGCCACTTGTGGCTCATTAATTTTTTAAATTCTCTCATCCGTCATGATGCTGGCGTTTGGTGGACAAGCATCTCTTCCTCGGCATTGCTGGAAAATTCATAAATAGAACGCTTTCACGAGACGTCAAGGGTTTCCTTTGGAAATTCGCTTAATAAACCTTTTCTCTAGTTTTTAGGATCTATGGCCAGCTGAAAGCCTCCCCTACAATGGCTATACAGTATCTCTTGGCACCCTAGAGACCTACCCGCATGCTCACGCAACGCTCACCAATATAAAACTGACACACCTGGCTGCAGGAAGCCATTTATAATTCAAAATACAGGCGATCTGTTTACCAAAAGTCATTGTTTTATTTCCCTCAAACGTCGATAATAACTTTAGTCATACTGCATGAAAGTGATTGTGCGTGGCTAGTTTACTTCTAAGAAACCGCAATTACAAGTTAAGCGCGTGGCGTGCTGAATACATTTTGTTCAGTGATGTTAACTCAAAAACTCGAAAAGAAACCTTCAGTCTTGAATACGTCATATTCCTGTTTGAATGCTTTGCTTGATCATGTATCTCTCCCTTTTACTTCTTGTTGGTTGGACTGTTTGTGTTGGAAATCGTATTTCGGAGCCTAATTTGGAAGCTGTCAACTTTGCTCATCCCATAGAAGGACGAAGACTCAGTGGAAGCGTCATAAAAGAGATGGAGGTGGACACCGAAGTATCTTGTCAGTTTAAATGCGTCGACGAAAAGAAATGTTTCTCTTATAATGTTGGATCTGCAAATTACACAAAGAACAACGCGAAGGGATTCAAGTGTCAACTGAGCGACTCTGATCGATTTGCTGGCTTTGCTAACTTCACAGAGGATAAAGATTTCAAGTACGGAGGCTTGCAGGTAACAACAAAAAAATCAAAGAGCGTGGCCAGTGGTGCAGGTTACTTTTAAAGTTACACAGCTGTTTAAAGTTATCAAATTTATACGTTAGATTTTCTATAGTTTTATAGTTATACCAAGGCGAAATAACAAGATAAAACTAAATAAACCGAATTTTCTTTCCCAAACATAGATAGCCAAGAGTAGTTTTGCCAAGCTACCAATCGTGTACGAACAAATTTTTGTCATCCATTTTCTGTTTCGAAACCGATACTGCCTGGCGTGCAGAGAAGCAAGTAGTCATTTCTCAATGAAATATAACTGAGGAACCTTGCCTGTAGATACACAACAAGTCTTACAACACGCAGAAATGTAAATTAAATGCAAGTTATTAGCAAATCGCACCCAATGTTTTTCTTAATAATAATAGAATTTATTAAACAGAGGTCTGTTACAAAAACGAAAAAAACTACGTACACTAAGGGAAGAAAGAGCGCAATACAAACGTACTTGCAAAATACTACGTACAAGATAAATTCCTTATTTTGCACTACCGTCGGGAGATTTGACCATTGCTAACATGCAGTTAACTTGAGCACATAACAACTAGAACAAAACATGTAACTACTTATAATAATCACAATTGCACAGCTTAAATTCCTTACTTTACAAAAGGTTACTGATTGGTTACTGAGATCAGTTAAAGAATTTTGATAAAGAATATTACTTACACTGTTTACACTATTTAGAGATCTTTACTTAGACTACATTAGGCGAGAAGTTTATCCTTAGGAGAGGATTGACTCCTTATTATAGTATAGATTAAGGGAGATTTTTCGGCGAATTTTGAGGTGCTATTTCCCGGCTATTTCCAAATAAATTCGTTTAAGTCACTCTTCTGCGCACGCACGCAATGTATATAACAGCTATCCTAACATAAATCTCTTGTTATGGACGACTATGTCTTTCTCGAATTCCAGCAAGTTCCACCAACGATCAAACTTTGTATATTCTAACAGAGTCCCTGTGAGAGTGATAGTTCACTTTGTGACAACAAAGAAGTCTGTGTCCCAAACTATAGAGATGGCACCGTACGATGCATTTGTGAAGATGGTTATCCAGGGAAACCTTGCGGTAAGTTGATTGACAGTTCTTCACTAAGTCGCTTCAGATTAGTCATTATACTTGTAATTGTTTAACCCAACAGAACCCAAAAGCTGCTCCCAGCTCCTTCGTGATGGTTTCACATCTAGTGGTGTGTACACCATCAATCCAGATGGCGGCAAACCGATACAAGTGTTGTGTGACATGACCACGGACGGTGGAGGTTGGACAGTTTTTCAGAGACGTTTGGACGGCTCTGTTGACTTCTATCTTGGTTGGAAATCCTACAAAAACGGATTTGGAGATCTGAACGGCGAATTCTGGCTTGGAAATGAGAATCTTCATCGTTTGACTGCCGTTGGCAATATCACTATGCGGGTTGACTTGGAAGACTTTGAAGGAGACATCAGATACGCTGAGTACACTACTTTTAAGGTGGCAGACCAGGCAGATAAGTACCGGCTTTTGATTGAAGGATACAGTGGCACGGCTGGTGACGCCATGATAACTGGGCGAAAGGCGAAGTAAGGCTATGTTCACACTTGGTGCCCGAGCTCGGTGTCAGAGTACGGTTATAGCTTGGCACTAATGTTAACACCTTTTTTTGCAAGTGCTGACACCAAAATTGGGGCACAGTGCCCGTGCCCGGGTACAAGGTCGAGACCTTGTAATCGGGTACCAAATGATACTTGGGTACTTGGAGTAACCAGTGTGTGAACGCAACACCATTTTTTCCGTAATAAACCATTTTACGGTTGTCTGTTCAGTGACCTGGCCTTTGAATGGCAGCGAGGCTGGAGGTGACCTTGTTTTGATACAGACCTCACTGCTTTTGTTGTGTAAATCAAGTTGTTCTAATACTAGCTAGGTGCATTTACATGACAAAAGCAGCGAGGTCTGTATCAAAGCAAGGTCGCCTCCAGCCTCGCTGCAATTCGAAGGCCAGGTCACCAAGCGGACCACTGTAAAATGGTCTATTTGTAATACAGTCGAACCTCCGGTTGACCACCTCTCGTAAGCGACCACCTCTCCTCGACGACCCAGTTTTCCACAGTACGAAAGGTTTCCAAGTGGAATCACTATATTTGGAACCTCTTGTAAGCGACCACCTCGTAAACGACCGAGACCACTTTTAGAGCTAGAAGTTTGTTTTTGACCTCCGGTAAGCGACGACTTGACAGATAATAGAGCGTAACTTGGACAATAAGGTGTTGTAACATTATCGTATTGCTGGTTTTCAGTGTCACGCAGTTCAAAATAGATCAAAATGAAAATCAAAACCGGTCAATAGATAAAGTCCAGAATCTGGGAAATGGAAGAAGGTAAATACGCATAGACTCTCGCCAAACTTCTGGTCACAGCAATTTTTGTTATGCGAGATATGCGGAGAAATGTTTTACTCTAATTTATGGAGATTTGTATGGAAACGCCATGCTGGCGCCCATCCGTGTGGGCACCAACATGGCGGCCGGAAGCCAAAAGAAACATCTGTGACTGTGTTTTGCTACAAAAGCGTGAATTTATCCCTCGAGGAACTCTAAAACATTAAAATAATACTTTTTCTAAGACATGAACTATTTAGATAGCCAAGTTCCACGAAATAAGTCAGTTTTTTAACCATCATGACAGTTCTCTAGGCCGTCATGTAAATGCCGCGTCACGCAAAAGCTTAGAAATTCAAGCGTAGTGTATCACAAAACCAAGAAC